GAAAATAATTATGAAGAAGATATTAAAAGTAGTTATACAAGAGGTTATTATTTGTAAGTGATATCTATTGTCTTGCAATAGTAGACGACAGCAAAATATTAATATCCTTGATACTTATTTTAAATCTACTTTTGTTTTATATTTTCTTAACTTTTTCCATATATATCGAGTATTATTCTAGCAAGTTGTTGAGACTTTGACTCCTGGTAGGGCCAGGGTTTATTGAGTATAGAGCAAGATAGGTCAACTCCCAAGACCCATATATCAGCGAATTATAGTGGTAATAACACATCACTAGCTGAGCCTCGGCAATGTCAACAGATTGAACGTCATGCCAATTGCCTTCTTATGCTAATAGCTCGGAAATTCAACCATGGCCAACATGATAAATCTAGTATAACACTGATAATAACAGTATCCTACCAATACCACACATACAAAAGATTTCCATGTAGTCTGGTTGACACAACTCCTCGATAGAGCCAACCAGATCACTGCCATGTAGCGAGTGTCTAAGAGCTGCAATGTTTTATTACGTTGTACTAAACATTGTGACTCCAAATCTTTAAAAAGCAATGCACCTGTACATACCTAGTCAGCTAAAATCCTACTTTCCTGACCTGAACCCCCGTTGAGCATAATAAACTGATTAATGCATATAAGAGTGTTGTTACCCGTCAGCAGCATCTAGATCAACTTAGGGAGCTAAAGACATGCCCCACTGCTGGCAAAGGATTTTGTGGAGGTCCTATCAAGAAACTGCACCAACTTAGCTATGGCTACACATCCCCTTCAGAAACAGGAGCCCACATCACGTTCGCCTGCCCACGCTTCGGACGCATCAGAATGATTCTAGATGGTAGGAGCAGCTGGGAAGAGCTTGACAAGCCGGTATGGAAAAAAGAGGGGGAAGAGACTTATGAGGCGACTGAGGCCTTTTTCAAGCTCTTATATCATGAGCTCAATTAGTTCTATCATTTACGAATTCCCTTATTCATGTCCCAGCCTTTCCAGCAATTTGTGTCACGTGCCCAAACTATACCACGCTATTGGGGTATCATTTCACCTGGTCACGTGACTTCCCCTTTTACTCTCATTCCATAAACGATTTCATAAGTTCAGTTTATTTTTCCTCTCGGGTCACTAATCGTTAGTTCCTTTCAGTTCTTCAAGTTTGGAGGCTCAGTCAGGCCCACGGGTCCTCGGCCAGTCCGTTAATGACAGCATGGGGCCTCCTCTCCGTCCGTGTTTTCAGTTTGGCGCGGGGTTGGCAGATTAACTTGCCTCTCCCTTCAATCCACCCGGGTTTCCGGGTGGCTCCTCATGGCCCCCCTAACGGGGCCGCATAGGTAGTAATTAGTTTTAAAAAAAAAAAAAAAAAAAAAAGAGGAATAGCAATGGGGCTCATAGAGCAATACGGGCCCGTTCAGTGCGTCGGGCCATTGACCAATAGGCCACTATTGCTTGTTAGACTGGGTAATTCACTAATCAAGCTAATTACCGGCCCATTCAATCAATCTGACCAACACCACAAACAATTTCTAGTATATTCTATATACATGGTTTACGGAACTATGGAGAAATGAAGGCAGACATCATCACACAGCCCAAACAAGTGGAGGCATGAAAGATTATAATACATAGTATTAATACGAGTTACTGAGAACCACAAAATGAATCAAAAGAAAAGATATTGTACCATGTGACAGGAGAAAATATAAGTATATCAAGTTCCCCGCCATAGCACAAGAGTATCCAATGTATTGTCCAAATCTGGGTGCCTGTAAAGAGACCGAGCGATATACTAGAATTATTGCTGTAGTGTTTGTCAAATCGGTGAATGTAAAGTATAGTGACTAATGGATTGGGCTCTAAGTTATTGCAATTATGTTAAGTTAAGGTTTATTAAGAAAGAAATCTTTTCTCCCCGTTTGTCGAAAGTTTGCTATCCATTCAGTGTGAACTCAATAGGTAATTAGTATACTGAACGCACTTGATTGCAAATGGATACAAAAATCTGTATATAAGGGACTCTTCACCATCGTTCTACCCCTTTCTTACACCAGACTGAGTCCCCCAGACGACATTGACACCTTCAAGTGTTCTGCAAAGAATTCAATAGGTTTCTGACTTACACAACCACCAATCCTTACCTTCCTACATCTTTGCCCTTAAGCCTTTAATCCTTTCTCAAAATGTCTAAACCAAGAGGATGCAAAAACTTCACCCATGTCCAATGCGACTACAACCGTTGTCGTGGACGAGATATCTCTGCTGGACATGTGAAAGACTGTCCATTCCAGGATTCAGATGAGGAAGACCAAGATTCAGATGAGGAGGACCAGGATGAAGGGGAGGATTCAGATGTGGAGAATGATGGGAACGAATGGAATCCCGTACGACCAGTAAAACACAAATCCACGCCAACCACCGTCGGCGTATCAAGTATCGGTCCCAAGGCCCAGAATACTGCCGTACAAGCCACAAGGTCCCATGATCCATGGGTTCAGAAGGCTTCCAAAGCGAGTCCAAAGACTCCCAACACCGCCGGTAGCATGGGCAACCCGTCTCGCCCAGTCACGAACACTCCCTCTGCCCCACGCAAATCTTGGGCTAGGGCCCCGATGCCTCCCACCCATGTCACTATCCGCCCTTCACGCAAATGACTTGCCTCAAATCCAGCCCTTGTTCTCAGAGCCCGACCGATGCTCCAGCGGCTAAAAGTTCGCACAAGTGGGTATAGAGGAGATGTGTAAGGGGTTGGAGCTGTGGCATAGAATACCGTCAATCGCTTCTGTAAATGTTTCCTGCACTCGATTTCGTTCAAATACTCATACTAGGATGAATATATTGGGGCACTACATGGAAATAGGGAACCGAATGGTTGAGGCCATTATCATAGCTGGTCATCTTGCAAGCTATTGATATATGTTTATGTTTTTTTTTTTCCTTTATTATTTGTGGACATAGATTTTTCATATCGAGACACTGTTTTCCTTCCATATCTACCTAGCTGCTATCTATAGCGCTCCGGAATTCTAGAGATTCCGCACATAATTATTCCTTCATGTGCCCAGAATCATGTAATTCCACTTTTTGGCCCCACACCAACTTTTATTTGAGTGACATTTTTAGTTCTCTGCTATAGTTTAAGTTGGTGATTTCGCAAGATTTGTGGCTAAATAGATTGCTTGCTAGGTAGTTGGGTATCGTGGTAGTGGGAAAAGATGTAGGGAATAATTATCAAGCAAATTATCGAATTATATTATACTAGTCAAGGCCTGCCCACCATGTTTTGGTAAATATTTGTCGAGTTTGTCAGTGTTCTAACCCACATAGCAATACAACGCATATAGCAATAGGACCGGACCGTTCAGCAATGGGCCACTATAGCTGGTTGGACGGCCCATTCACGCAAATTACCGGCCCGTTTAACCATTCTGACCAACACCACAAACATACACATGTTGTACTGTATAAGGAGAAATGAAGGCAGACATCATCACAGCCCAAACAAGCAGAGGCATGAAAGATATAATATATAATATTAATACGAGTACTGATTTACCATAAAAGGAATTAAAGGAAAAGATATATCATGCGACATGAGAAAATATTTGAGAAACAAATTCCCTTCCGTGGCACAATAGTTTCCATGTATTGTCCAAATCTCGGTGCCTGTAAACAGACTGAGCGATATATACTAGTATTACTAGCCCTACCAGCTATAATTTCCCATTGCTAAATGGCCGTATTGCTGGGTCAGAATATTCGCCATGCTAACATCTGCCAATCAATGCTACTGTATGTGAATGTGATATGCATGATATTGTGTTGGGCGAACCTAATATGGGTGAATGAGACTATACCTATGCAGTCTTTTTCGTTCCGCATCAATGGTTCGTCAATATTGGTATAATGTATGGATAAGCTACCAGCTGGCACAGGCTCTGAGCTCCGCCAAACTGGATCATTTAGGTGTATATAAATGGATTCTCCATCACCTAAACGAATATATTTTACTACCACTCTAAACAATAATTATCCAGGAATATAAAGCCACCACCTATCACAATCTAATCCCAACCCGAGTATACTACAGCCAACACCCTGTCAATTTATCCTTCCCTATCGCCTTTTTTGCCTTATAGTCTATACCTGTGATTACAGTGGGACCCCGAAGCCTCCCCTTAAGGGTTTGTATGCTTTCAGGACTCCTGAATCCACCCGGGATTCATCATGGTCCACCTACCGGGATCGCACATGAGTAATGAGAAAAAAAAGTTTTCGGGATAACAAGCGGCTACGGACAACTGTATCCAGCCAATGTAATAGAATCCGTGAAAGACCTAAATTGTGATTGAATTTGAGCTTGATATGGCGTTCCTAATTCTCAAGTTTATAGACCTGGAACGGTCCTTCCGCTGCTCCCGTGATTTTTTGACGGTTGCAGAAATTTTAAACGTCGTAGAAACAAAGCTATTCACAATTAGCGCCACTATTTACGTTTTCGAAATGAGCATCGCGCGTGGCTTAAAAAACAGAGAGACTGAATATTCCTCTCTTTAATCTAGTAGCTGTATTTTAACCTTTTTTACATAAAGGTCACATTACTGGTGTGATTCCCTAGATTGCCTAGGGCCTGTATTTAGTGAGCGAGACTAAGTACATCCCATTACTGGGACCGCATGATTTTTTTTTTTTTTTTTAAAAAAAAAAGAAACAGAAGTATTTGATAAAGTGTCTTTTTAAGATCTTACCGGACATGACTAAGATTTGAAGAAGATGCTGAATATTCTGCCTCCTCACACTTGATTATCCAGCCAACCTTAAATCTAGCTGGAAGTATCAATTGAAAAGTTATTGCATATTCTAATGGCGTAGAGAATTGTGGAGGACTTTCGTAGATTAAGCTAATATTTTTCTAGATAGGTACTGTTGTTTATCAAGAGCCTTGGCTAGTACTTGTAATACTTTTGAATCAAAATAATATTAAATTAGCTTCCTTGGCTCAGTTGGTAGAGCGTTGGTCTCATATTAATACTATGACGCAATAATTAGATTGTGACATCCAAAGGTCGTGAGTTCGAGCCTCACAGGGAGCATCTTTTTTTGTAATACATTTGTTTTACAATGGTGTACCGTATTTTCTGGTTCTTTATGACCCGGAGCTAGCAAGATCTAACGTGAAGAGGTGTGATTTTCACTCAACTAGACCTATCGAAGTGCTCGTGCGGACAAGAACGTTGGATTTGTATGAGAGAACTTGCAGTAGCGCCGGGTCATAAACAACCAGAAAATACGGTACTTCTTACTAGTGCACAACAGCCCCGCCTAGCGTGGATCTGGAACGTAACTTTTATTTTTTTTTGGCACATTGCAACACAATGCTATTGTAACGCTATTTTAGCGACAGAAGAGTATGTAAATAGTGCATCACATTCGTCCTTATGCCATCCCTCGGCCACTCAAACATCATATGAGATGGCTTAGGCCATCGCAGTATGCCTTCTTATGTATATAAGATGGAGGAGATTCCAGCACATAGAGCATATATTCGCATGTTCATACATTCACATATCCGTACATATTCCTCTGATTTATTAGCTGAAGTGATAGTTGACTGGTCATATGTCCGTTCATCCGCCACTTAGTCATGATCCTGTCATTATTCTTACCAGACCTAAATAAACACCACCTACGTAACAACCAATGAGAAGAATCACATCAATTCTGCATGAATTGTATGATAAACAAGGGCATAATAGCTTAGATGCTTGCCTGACTTATGACTTGCCTTTGTAAGGGGTGAATTACTAGATCACCAATGCAAAAGCCGCAGATACAGGGTATGTAACCGGTTGGTATACTGGCGTATTATGAGTTCAAACCTACAGATCAGGCGCTTTTCGAATAGAGAGCTCAACGAGCAGAAGGAGAGGTATATGAGCTCAGCGAGAGGAACAAGTGATTTAAAGCTCAACGAGCAAAACGAGAGAGCGAGCAAAACAAGAGGTTTAAGGATCACGAAATCGCCACCTTAGACTATAGCAGAGAACAAAAAAATCTTACCCAAATAAAAGTGGGTGTGGGCCAAACGGTGATTCTGGGCAAACGGAGGAATGTTTAGGGAATCCTTGAAATCCGGAGCGGCAATAGATAGCAGCTAGATATGGAAGGCAAACAGTGTCTCGATATGAAAAATTCATGTCCAGAAATAATAAAGGAAAAGAGTCAAAACAAAAAAAAATATCAATAGCTATGCCACAGCTCACCTCCCCTTACACCTCCCCTCTATACCACTGGTGCGAATCTTTAGCCGCTGGGGCTTCGGTCAAGCTCTGAGCACGAGGGCGGGCTCTGAGGCTCTGTCAGGCACAGTCATTTGCGTGGCGGGCGGATAGTGACATGGGTGGGAGGCATCGGTTTCCTAGCCCAAAATTTCCGTGGGGCTGAGGGAGTGCTCGTGTCTGGGCGAGACGGGTTGCCCATGCTGCCGGTGGTATTGGGAGTCGTATTTGGACTCGCTTTCGAGGTCTTATGAACCCATGGATTATGGGACTTTGTGGTGGCTTGTGCGGGAGTATTCTGGGCCTTGGGGCCGATGCTTGATATGCCGGCGGTGGTTGTCGTATGTTTTACTGTTCGTACTGGATTCCATTCGTTCTCATCATCCTCCACATCTGAATCCTCTGCTTCATCCTGGTCCCCTTGATCTGAATCCTGGAATGGACAGTCCTTCGCATGTCCAGCGGAGCTAACTCGTCCACGACAACGGTTGTAGTAGTATTGGACATGGGTGAAGATTTTGCATCCTTTTGGTTTAGACATTTTGATAAAGGATTAAAAACCTTCGGGACAAAGATGTACGAAGGTAAGGATTGGTGGTGGTCTATGGTAGAAACCTATTGAATCTTTTGCAGAACACTTGAAGGTGTCAATGTTGTCTGGGGGACTCAGTCTGATGTGAAGCAGGGGTAGAACGGTAGTGAAGAGTCCCTTATATACAGATTTTTGTGTCAATTGCAATCAAGTGCGTTCGGTATACCAATTACCGATTGAGTTCACACTGACTGGATCGCAGACCTTCGTTCTATTTGACAAACGGGGAGAAAGAATCTTTTTTTTATATACCTAGAAAGGTTTACTTAATATGATTGCAGGCCTAATCTTGGCGGGTTTGGGTCATCCGGCGAGACCCCGAGGGCCTTGGAATCACACAATGTCATCTATCAACACTCTAGGTTTTCGGACGTGGTCCCTGGAAAGGCAGCATGAGTGTGCCGGGACATAGTGGCTCCTAGACAGTCGGAAAGGGACTTAAAACCCTGCGCGGCTGTCAGTCAGTTTGTTTTTTATTTTTTTAATAATATATACCTACTCATTAAGGGACCAACCGGAAACCCGGGAGGATTTAGGACAAGGCAAGTTAATCTGCCGTGTCCGGCGCGAGGAAAGCCAAAGAACGAACTCAAGTGAGTCGAGATCCCATGCTGTCATCAACGGGCTTGCGCCCGATAACCCAAAGAGGCCTGACTGCGAAGAAAGCCAAAAGGTGGTAAGGATTTTCAAGCAAAACCCTCCCCAAAAAACGCTCGCAGGCAGAAAATCTCAAAAATGATAACGGCTCGCAGGTGGTAAAAACTCAGGTAGGAAAACTCAAATGGCCGAAGTGCTGGTAGGAAATTAAACAATTCTCACCCAAAAAGCACTCCCGTAAAATGAAATGCGGGGCCATTGAGTAATGTCAATACCCTCTGCCACGTAGATAATGAGTGATGATACCAGTTTAGCGACCCTTCTACCTTCTTGCAGCAACCAGCGGATGCCTAGAATTCGAGCCCCCTTGCTGTTCTCTTCAATCCAGCAGCTCATAAGCCCAGCCTTGTACTTCGTTGGGGCCGCGTGGAATATAACGGCTGGTTCTCGATATGGGGGGAATGGTGTCGGGGGTGGTGCATATAATGGTGACTTCTTCGGAGGGTTCGGGTTGGTGCCGACGCCGCCGGGCGCTTTGCCTTTATCTTTCCCTCTTGAATTCGATGCCTTCGCGTTTTTAGGTGCTGGGGGAGAGTGGACGCGGTGTTGAGTTTCTTGTGGATCTGGCTGGTTGAGGTCGCTGCCTCCGCATATGTGCGTACTGGGGGGTGTCGGTTGGGGATCGGTGTTCGTGGAAATGTTGTTCCTTGTCGGGGTGATCGGGAGTATGATCTGCCAGTCTGGCAGAGTCTGAAACCAGAGTCTGTAGCGGTAATGGGATTTGTGATAGTGTAAATCTGAGGGTCTCCACTTCACTCCTCAGACTGCTGTTCTCGTTTCGTAGGTTCGCGAGTTCCTGATCGACGTTGGTTCACAAAAGTGGTTTGCTTTGATAAAGCACTTACCTCTGCTACCTCCCGGAGCTTGGAGCTGCCTAAGTCGATATCGAGCAACCACTCCAAAGTGTTTTGGCTCGTGAATACACCATAGTCCCATTTGGTATGAAACTGGTACGTGTTCTGAGGGTCCTTCTTGGTCTAGGCTGTTGACCCACAATTTCCTAAACCTCCTAGTTCAAAAAGACTCTCTAATAAAGAGGCTATTCTCTTCTCAAATGTGGAGGTCGTGTCGTGGGGGCCACAGGCTGCGGTGGATAGGCTTGCGTTGCTTTCGTGACCATCCTGGAGTGGGGCGGTGATGCTGGTATCGGTTTCGTATCCCTGTAGGTGCCCAGTGGCTGGCAGCAGAGTCTTGAGTGGTGGAGTTACTTGATCCATCTTTCTGGGATTGTCCTTTCTCTTTCCCTTGGCCGGCATGTCGTTGTGGTACAGCCGGTGGCGTGGTTGGAGGATTTAAGGTTGAGTTCCGAAGCTGTGTATTGGATAGTAGGTAGCCGCCGCTAGAACGGTTGATTAGAATGAGGGTAGGTGAGGGAGTTATATTTTCGAGGATTGGGGAGTCGTGATGAGAGGGCTGGCTGAAGTGTCGACGTGGCAAAAAATTCGATAACGTGCAGTCTGGAAGAATCGCAGGATATTGTGGGAATTTTGGGACCGAAGGGCGGAGAAATGTATAGATGAGGGTCCCCGAGCGTAAAATTAGGGTGAGGTGAGAGAGTTCGTCAAGCTCTATCGATTGAGGGAGGGTGGTTTGGCCCAGGGGGACCTTCTGCGTTTTGAAATATGCTCGCAAACGTATTTGTGGTTGCTAAGGTAGTTCTGTCTGAGGACTACTAGTATTGTGAGGGCCCAGCCAGTCGTAGGGACTGGCTGGACTCGACAGGACGGTTCTAAAGCCGGGGTCGGTCTCAGCAAGCACCCCATGCTCAAGTCTTCGAAGTGGCAACTCGTGAAGTTGATTTCCTCTGGTAGTCTTAACTTCTACGCTTATCTTCGAGTCCTGTTGGGGACCCCAGACGGTCAAATGGATGTAGTTGGATCGAAATCAGCTGGGATAAGCAAGGAGGAGGAGGAAGAAGATCCGAGGACCTCATGGAAAGAGGCGGAGGAAAAAGAAAGCAGGATATGATATGGCATTAGCATACTGCATAGGCGAGGACCGGAAGTGGGGTGAGGAACGGGTAGGTTTGGAGGTGGAGGTTGCGAGTGTGGAGGTGGAGATGGCTAGTTTGAAGGAGGAGATTGCTAGTTTGAGAAAGGAGGCAAACAAGCCAGGCTCCTTCAGAACACACCACTCGGTAACCTACACCAACAAGATCCCCGAACATTCTGAATCACGTTCGTGTTATATTGTGAGAGAGAGAGAGAGAGAGAATAGTATATTCGTATACTAGAGCAGACGCCGCTTGCTTAATGATAATTGATGATATGAACGTAAGGAAATCCGTCCGTCTTAAATACCCCACTGACCTTCCTAGACACCCAAACACAGAAACCCTTAAGCGCTCAATCTCGCTCAGCCGTACAAATCTCACTCAGCAGTGCATTCATTCTGCAGTCAGCTTACCTGTTACCCTTGTTCCAACAGAACTACCCCCCACCAGCACAACTGTCAGAACGAGCCCCACCACCAAGGGGCAAAGGCAAAGAGTTAGTGAAAGTGGCAGTACTTCCATCCCCGAACCTCCGTCCGCCACAAACCCACAAGAAACCTGCGGCAGTGGCAC